CGGCGTGGACTCCACCAAGCCGAAGAGCCCCGCGGACAAGGGGGTCTCGTGGCCCTTCCGCGACCTCTACGATGAGTTCAGCCCCTTTGACGAGTCGGATTTCTACCCCACGACCTCCTTCTACACCGACGGCGACGAGGAAGAGGAGCCGGAGGAGGAAGAGGAAGAGGAGGAGGAGGAGGAAGAGGAGGAGGAAGGCGGGCCGGCCGGCCTGGCGGAGGAGAAGAAGAAGGATCCCCGGGCCCCCACACCTCCGCCGCCCCCGCCCCATCAAATCCACCGGGTGGAGCCCACTGCCCGCCGCTTCCTCCTGCCCCCGCTGCAGACTTTCGTCGTCTCGGGGGGCCTCGGGCGGGCCACGCGCGGGCCGGCCTCGGCGGACCCCCCGGTGCCGGAGAACGGCACGGAGTGCCGCCACGGCTACGCCCGTCACAACAACAGCTGCAAGTCGGTCTGCGACACCTTCCCGAGTTACTGCCACAACGGGGGGCAGTGTTACCTGGTGGAGAACCTGGGCGCCTTCTGCAGGTGAGGGGGCCGTGGGGGGGGTCCCCGGAGAGAGGCTGGGGGTGGGGGGTCCCCGGATTTTGGGAGGGGAAGATTTGGGAGGGGTTGTGTCACGGAGGGCTTCCCCCCCCCTTGAAGCCGGAGAAGCTAGGTGGGGTGTCTTTGTGAACTTCAGGTCAGGATCAGAATAACCGAGTTGGAAGGGACCTTGGAGGTCATCCAGTCCAGCCCCCTGCTCAAACAGGACACCCTTACAGAATCATAGAAAAAACAGAATTGGAATGGACCTGGGAGGTCATCTAGTCCAACCCCCTTGCTCACACAGGAGACCCTTACAGAATCGTGGCATAATAGTGTTGGAAGGGACCTCGGAGATCATCTAGTCCAGCCCCCTGCTCAAACAGGACACCCTTACAGAATCATAGAAAAACAGAATGGGATCTCAGAGGTCATCTAGTCCACCCCCCCTTGCTCAATGACGAATTCGGCCGGGTGCTTTGAGAGCTCGTTTCTCACTTGCAATGCGAAGCGATGGTTTGATCATGGAATGCTTGGGCTGGAAGGGACCCTCGGAGGTCATCCAGTCCAACCCCCCGCTCAAGCAGGAGATCCTTACAGAATCATATGGGAAGGGTCCTCGGAGGTCATCTAGTCCAATCCCCCCCTGCCCAAGGAGGGGCTCTTTGACAGCTAGTTTTCCACTTGCGGGAAACAGCTAGCGGGGCCTCCCAAACGGCCCCCTCCCCTGTCACGCGTGTAGATTTGCACGCCTGTTTGGATCCCGTGTAGATAGCCGTGGAAGCCGTGCAGAGAGAGGAAGAGAGAGAGGAGGGGGGAAGAGAGAGAGAGAGAGAATGGAGAGAGGAAGAAGGAAAGAAAGGAAAAGAAAGAAAGAGAAAGAAAGAGAGAGAGAAAGAAAGAAAGAAAGAAAGAGAGAAAGAGAGAAAGAGAGAAAGAGAGAAAGGAAGAAAAAAAGAAAGAGAAAGAAAGAAGAAAGAAAGAAAGAAAGAAAGAGGAAGGGAAGGAAAGGAAGAGAGGAAAGAAAGAAAAAGAAAGAAAGAAAGAAAGAAAGGAAAGGAAGAGAGGAAAGAAAGAAAGAAAGAAGAAAGATAGAAAAAGGAAGGAAAGGAAGAGAGGAAAGAAAGAAAAAGGAAGGAAGGAAGGAAGGAAAGGAAAGGAAAGGAAGAGAGGAAAGAAAGGAAGGAAGGAAGGAAGGAAAGGAAAAAAAGAGAGGAAAGACAGAAAAAGATGAAAGAAAGAAAGAAAGAAAGAAAGAAAGAGGAAAGGAAAGGAAAGGAAAGGAAGAGAGGAAAGACAGAAAAAGATAAAAGAAAGAAAGAAAGAAAGAAAGAAAGAAACCAAGAGAGACAGAGATGAAAGAAAGAAAGAAAGAAAGAAAGAGAAAGAGAGAAAGAGAGAAAGGAAGAAAAAAAGAAAGAGAAAGAAGAAAGAA